TCCGGCGCGAACTTCCTATTCTGGTTAGCATTCAAATTGAATCTTCGTGGCGGCCGGTCGTGAAGAGTTACCGCCGTTAATGGACCTCGCAAACGCTCTCAAATTGCCGGCAGACTGGCTGAGAAGACGCGCGCGGCGCGGCGGGGCCCTGCCTAATCTACCAAGCTTGATCCGCCGATCCCGCGCGCCCCGCCTCGCCGAGCTTCCACGGAATTTTCTCGCACACCCCTCATTACCTTCGTTATTATTGTCCCCGGGATCGCCCGGGATTCGTTTTATGTTCCGCCGATGTTGCGAATCGGTGGCTGGAGCTACCGTGTTGGAATGATTTTGGTGGTGTTCATTCGGGATCATCGGTGTCTTTGGGATTGGATGTTTGTAGGGATGTTGGGAAATACATTATTGTTTTGAATATTGTGATGGATGTCTGGAGGAACTGGATGTCTGTTGTGGTGTTTTGGGGATTATGTGTAGTGAACGTTTGGTAGTTTTAATGAGTTAAACGATGTGTTACTGACGAGTGATGATATTGAATTACTTGAGAAGGATTGTAACGAGATAACCGATGTCGAACGAAAGTGTTTAATATTAACGGTGAATAATGGAGAATTGTTCCTGGTTTCCTTTGCTGAGAGGTGATAACTCTTTGAATTGTGAAAGTTCTCTGGTTTCCCTAGTTAAAGTTCTTAACGAGAAATAAAGGAACTAAGGAAATAAATTAAGGATGTGCTGTTTTATTTCGTTTTAAGTATCGATGAGTTATAGAGAGATTCGAATGAAGTAGTTCACTCTGTGATTACACTGTATCGAATCGAATGAGGCGCTCCTCGGGTGTAAAGGGTTAACTCTGCTAAGGGAGTTATTTTTGAATGTTAGTTTCGTAATGGATGCATCGCTAGAGCCATTGTTATTCGAGGTTAGGCGGCCGGGTCGATAGGCGTAGGTTCAAGATGAAATTGGATACGAAGAGAAAAAGAGGAAATTTGATTGCGTTCGGGGAATCGTTACGCGACTCGAGCAACTCCTGCGGAGTATCCTCAAATTGGCAGCGATCTAACGAGCGGCTTATCAGCCGATGAGCCGCGAGACGCGCGTTACGGGCTGCGCGGCTCATTGCGCTGCCAACGTAATTCGAGAAGCTACCTCGAGGGTGGCTCGCCCTTATTTCTTTTCTTCCGTTAAACCGAATTAGCTTGCTTGATTTAGGCACGAGATATACCCTCCGCCCGTTCGAAAAAAATGTTTCCTTCTTCCAAGGAACCTCGGGGAACTCCCATCCCCTAAGCTAGCCTATTGGCTCACTGAAAATCTAGCTGTAGATCTTTCCAATATTCACGTGGCAGAGAAATTTCTTTTGGAAAAGGAACACCACTTGGTTGTGCTACTTCTCTAATCCCTAAATCAATTAACAATCGAAGTTGTGAATTAGAAAATCCTCTAAAGATTAATTAACCTTTGATTATTAATACATTGACTACGATAGCTTCTTCAAACCTCTTTGTATTGTACTATCCTAGGTGATTTTCTAATTCACATCTTCGATTGTTAATTGATTCATTAACCTTTGATCCCTTAACACAATAACCTTCTCGAAAATAATCGTAACAAGTTAACCCTTAGCACTCCAGATTCTGTAACTAACATCTCTTAAGTTTCTTTATTTTCCTTCTTAATACAAAATTTGGACTATAGAAGATCCAGTAACCTCACGATAGTTCTAAATTTACTCATTAAAATATTTAATAGTACAAATGTTGTCATATTGGAGCCTACAGAGTGCAAAGGGTGAAACTAAAAATATCTAACAACGTAAGTCAATAGTCTAACTGAACCATAGCGACAAATAATTAACAATTCTTCCTATTTATCTACACATTCATTTATCGTACGAAAGAATAATGGTTACGTAAGATTTCCATTGCACTGGACGTTAGTCAATAACAGTAGATGAACCGTTAAGGGTGCATTGTGACCGTGACTTCGCAATGTTCCGCGAATCTTCGGATTGATTTCTGGGCAGAGGGGAAGACCGTGGTCCACGGGCTCGTGGGAAGAGCCTACCCTCTCGCCGAGATTCGAAATGGCTAATTCGCCGCGGCCCGTCCCGCTGGGACCGTGGGGTTCGAAGACGGAGAAAGCTGGCCGAAGGGACTCCGGAGACAAGCCGCGCGGCCGAGTCGCTCTCTCCGTTTCTCGATGTAATTCTATTAGAGGTAACTACGCGAGCCCGACCGTCGTCCGTTGGATTTAATCACGGAGCCGCTCGACCGAGCGATATTCCACCCCCTCGCGATAGTCTTTCGAGAGTGCAGCGGAATTAAACGCGTCGTTCTTGGTCTACCGGCCTGGCGGCATTGTCGGGCTCCTCGTTCGGGACAATGAGCCGGCAGTAACGTTTCAAATGGAAATCAGTTGCCGGCGAAATTATTTAGGCGCTCGAACCAGTGGATTCTAGAGATGTGAGGATATAGAATTTGGGAGGCTAGATCGAAAGAATGAAAATTAGGAGAGTAAATAATGGAATGTGTATGATATACAATGACGTAACTCAAAATCTCGTGAAATATAGTGTATAATCATTTGTTGATTTTAATCCTTTGCACTCGGAAGTTTCTCATTGGGAATATTTAACATTTTTTGAGGCGATGTTCTTTGAAATGAACTTTAAGGGAAATAGCAAGTATTAATTTATTCGAATATTTCACGTGGGCATTATACAAAGTTCAAAGTTCAAGCTATTCATTATCCACGGATCAAAGCAAACTATTTTGCTATTATCATTGTATTATCTTCAAATAAAATTTCCACTTGAAGTAGAATGGACAATTTTGTTGCATTTCCTGCAAATTGTCGATAGTAAGATGGTACATGAGCTTAACCAAGGGGTTAAATATCAGATTTTATACTTTTGCGTGAAATCAAGTGACTGAGAGTCATCTCCCGAGTGCAAGGGGTGAACTTAACCAGAAAGGATGATCGAACTAACAAACTTGATTCTTCTGCTTGCAGCCGAGCTAAAGATGGACGTGCTCCGAGAAAGGGAAGTGAAGGACAGCCTCGAGCGCCAGCTCCAGGACGAACAGAAGGTCCGAGGTGAGTAGACGAGCCAACTGTAAGATTAGGGGAAGATTAACACTAAACCTACTAGTCAAACTGACTTTTCCAAATTTTTCTATAACAACTTGAGTGCATCTATCGATACTAACTGATTTATAACTCAGTTTATATCACTAAATCCATTTCTTGAATCATTCTCCAAAGAAATATCTGTCATCTTCTGAATAATTACAAAAAGGTCATTTTAACCTATGTAATTTTAGTGTTAAATCCGCAATGAATTCGTACAAATTGCTTCCAATACTCCAAAACTCCTCGAAACTGACTAGTGTATCTTCTCCAAGAACATTCAAAGAACTTAAAGACAGAAAGAACCAATTCATTTAACACTAGAACTACCATACGAGTCAAAATGACTGGTTTCTATTGTTCTGTTTCGGAATTATCGATATCTTAACCCTTTGAACTCTGTTGGCTCCAATATGGCACCAGTTCTAATATTAAATATTTCAATGAATCTTAAAGAAACCCTAAAATTATTAGATTTTCCACACATCCAAATTTTCTACTAAGGAAAATAGATCGAAGAAATGTAGCATTTCTCATTTTCTTCAGTACTAAGGGTTAAAAGCATTGAATATTCGAAATGATCTTGAAAACAGCTTCACTTGAATACTACAATAAACATTCAAAGAAACCGAAAACAATATATTCTCACAATTTTCATATTACACATCAATCGTTTCAAATCCGTAGTTCTAGTGTTAAGAATCCATTCCAACTTCTTCCATACAAACCAACTCTTCATCACGAAAAATCAAAAGGCAACAGTTATATCGATAATCAACTACAAACATGAGTAACGTCTCGCACAACGTTTCACGAGGAAACGTGTGCGCGAAGGGGTTAAGACCGTCCACTCTCAACCCCTCGAGTGTTAGGTGGTCCAGGTCGACGACGCTCGTTCGGCGTCCCCACGGCGAGATTCCACGGACGCCGTGGGTTTAAGGACGCCTGTCCCCGACGGGGCGGACACTCTTTACGGCCTCTGGAAAATTGACTCGCCGCGTAAACGAGCCCGCTCGTCCGCGCGGGCCGCGACGGCCGATCGGCCGCGAGTAGCTGAACGCCTGCCGGCCGTTCCGCGCCACGAAAACGGTTAACTCGGCGATAAATCAACGAGTCACACCGAGAGACACCGCTATAAACTCTCGACCGCGTACCCTATTATTCGGGCTCTCCGGAGAGGCTAGACGGTCTTCCTGCCTCCACCGATTTTAGCCGCGTCTCCGTCGAATCGCCTTTCATCCCTGTCCGCCGGCGTTAATGGAAGGGTTGGATCGCGGAGGCAGCCGGTGCGCGGGATCGAAGGAAGCTGGGAGGAAAAAGGGAGTCCGGACGAGCAGAAAACCGAAGGCCGAACCGTGATCGCTCGGGACAAGTTTGTATCGAATGTCGGCCCGTAATAGAATAGTCGTCGTCGTCTCGCGTTTACAGGCTGCTTCCCGTCGACCACCTACTCGTCGCGACACCCACTTCTTCTTTGTTCGGCCGCGTTTTCTCTAGTATTTTCGTGCGCCCGGCGGGGAGATAAATTCGAAGAAAGGGGACGCGATTTCTCTTCGTCGCCTGCGGATCCTTCGTTCGATGCGCGTCGTTCCGAGCGGTGTCTCTTCGGCGACGGAAGTTTAAGGCGAACTGGGCTCGACCGTTTGGAAACTGATATTTTAATAGGAAATAGTGGATGAGTCAGAGTAACGTGTATATTGTCAATTCTTTAACGCTAGGTTTACGGACGTTTATTGCACTGTTTATTCTCTCGATCCTACCAAAAATCCATTTAGATCTTGGAAATTAAGGGTTGAAGAATGGACGATTACTATACATATTCGTGCAATTGCATTAATCAAAATCGACGTAAACTTTTAGGAAATAATGTTTGTAAAATTCAATATTCGTCAAATTACGTTCCGTAATCCTAGTTTTAACATTTTCGTAGAAACTTGGATATTTTCTGATGAGGAAACCGAATGTTGGATATATGAGATATAAGATAGTGGAGCAATTATTAAGAATATTGTTTCAATGAGTGTTAAATGAGTTTAAATGAGTTTCGATGAGTCTACGTGGCAGTGTTAATCATCGAAACTGCCATAGATATTTTCTTCCAAAACCGTTAGATACACCAATTGAGATAGATCCACACTGAAGTATAATTCTCGATAAATGTATCCTCATAACTCCTACAAGAAAACAGAACAACCGACTGTACAATTCTGTAAAACTCATTTTATTACTCTTTTCACTGTCATTCTCGTGATACCTACAATTAACACGTTAAGCATCCTACTAGATCTCCGCGATCTTCCCACTTGTCTATATTACAGTATTTTATCAAGTAAACTTGAAACACTCCCAATCGGTTACTGCCAAACGACAAAACCGACTGTACAATTCAGCTCGAATATCAACCCTTAACGAACCAAAACTCATTTCATTACTCTTCTCACCATCATTCTCCTAATATCTACAATTAACACGTCAAGCATCCTACTAGATCTCCGCAAATCTCTTTCCACTCGTCATCCATATTACTTTATCTACATCCACATTACTTTATACATTATTTTACCAAGTAAACTCGAAGAACTCCGAATCGATACAGCCAAACGACAAAGCAAAACCGACGAAACACTCGAAAAACTCATACCGCCCCTGAGAAAGCCATTACCGCGGTAGATCGCGTCGGTTCCTCCGTCGAATCACACCGGGGCCGACGTCGGCCGTCGGCGGCGGAAGACAATCCTCGGCTCTCGAATTTTTCGAAAAACCTTCCGCCCCGACGCGCGCCATCGGCGAATCGATTCGCCGCCGACAGAGAGATAAAGAGACAGAGGGGGACGGAGACAGCTCGGAAAAGAGAGAACGCGGTCCGCGCCGGTCGGGCCGACTCGGCCCGGGCAAATTCAATATCACGGATTTTCCCGGCAAAAGATGTCGGCGCGTCTCGGCTGACGCGAGCACAATGCCCGAGCCTCCCCCCCGATAAATATGTAAAAGTCGAGAAGACCGACGGGGGAATATATCCGCGTGCTTCGCGCGGGGCGCAGGTGAAAGCGGGGGAGAGGCTGGTCGCTCTCTCCTCTCTGTATCTCTGGTGATCGGTATATTGCACCCGGAACGAACGAAAATGAAAATAAAAAAATCCTCTGTGTGTGTGTGTGTGTGTTTGTGTGTGTATGAGAGAGAGGGAGTGAGAGGACGTCGATGTCCTGGCACGATGACGATGGCGTCGATCGTCGCGCGGAGGATTTTTTTATCTCCCTTTCCGTTTCGGTTTCTCTGTCGCTCCGGCCGACGGAGAGCGCGGGGAAGTCGACGGCGGGACGAGTCGCGGCGTTCGTCGGTTCGTTTCGGTCGATTCGCAGGAAAAACGAGTTGCCGGGGTTCGGCCCTCGCGGTAACACGAGCCTGTGACAACAGCAGTCCATTAGTCAACCAGCTCAGTGTCAATACATGAATATGACAGCCGGTCTCACGGAATAGCCCATCTATTCCCTTCGCGCGGCTCGTCTTTGCCCACCGCCGCCCCCGCGCCGACGCTCGACGTAATGTCAACCGAGCGATATCGCAAATATAGGAAATGCGGGCTGGGCGGGTCCTTTATCTTCGCGTGGAAACTTTCGGTTTCGAGGGTGGTCTTGGGTAGTGTATTTTCGGATGGCTCTGTTTTTAGGTTTTCGGGGTATTTTCGCGAGGGATGTTAACCCTTTGGATTGTGATATCGTGGTGGATTCGAGGCGAAGATTTTTAGTGTGGTTTAACCCTTTGCGGACGACTGTAGACATTTCGGAGAGATGAAATTTTCATGTTTGGAAGACTAAGTTGCAGACGAATGATTTAGTTACTCGAATAGCTAGAGATCATCGCGTTCCTTTTTTCGTATTAATTAGGGATTTGATATATAATTCAGGTTTATCTGCTGAAGGTCTTGTATATTTCAAAGAATCTTCGTCGGCAAAGGGTGAATAGACTTAAATGTCATTGAGTTGTGTTACGTTTAAATGAAACATTGTTGTTAGAAGTTTCTATGGTATACTAAATCTAGATGTAGCACAGTGTTTTCTTTTACCAGTGCATTATTAACAATAGTTCTAACAAACGCTTGAGAAAGGAAATGGAGTACTAAGAAATATTCTCCAAATGAAACGTAAATTCCAATACTCCACTACACACTCAATTCTCCAATGCCGAACAGAATCTAAAATCGACCTAATCACAAGCGACGTATCCCTCCAAAACACACAACTCTTAAAAGCCCATCAAAGTCCCATAGACGCGCTTAGAACTAATGCAACTCATTACGGCAAATTATATCCCAACATAAATCAACACGGACACGATGCGCATTAAACTTAAACGTTAATCTTCCAAGATTAATGAACATCCTCGACGTGACACGGTTCGTACCCCTAGCATCGTCCTCAACTAAAGATTCCAGTTCCGAATCATTCCACCTAAACACAACTAGCATTCTCATTCTCGAAACACCACCGGAAGAGAATCCGTCGATACGACGGTTTCCCCTGGATCCGCGAGGAATCGTCGGCGACCGTGCAACGCGGGACGATACCTAATTTGCGCGAGGCCTCCCGCGGTCCCGGCCGGATGATCGATCATCCGGAGGATATTGACGCAAGCCCTCGGCCGAGACCACCGTCTTTCATTCGGCTAATGACCGGCGCGTAAAGAAAAAGGCTCGCTGCCCCGTGGGGTTATTCGGGGATGTCGCTTTCCCGCGCGCCTTTAATACATTAAGAAACCGAGCCAGCCTATTAGGTCGCTCCGGCAGCGATGCCACCCCGTGTATTCTCGGAACGGAGTTCCGTGGGATATACTCCGGAGGAACGATCCCGTTCGGGCACAATGCGCTCTTCCGGTCGATTTTCTGGCTGCCGCTCTTCAACCCCTTTCATTCGTCTACTCCGCTATTGACGGATAGATGGCCTAATTATAAGGGGATTAGGTGAATGGGA